TGTAATACATTAACTATTATTGCCTATTCCCCTTGAGGCACCTCAACACCTGGTCAGCCAGAGGCTGGGGTTGGGTTCCCTGGGCTAAGCGGAAAGGAGCAAGTAAATAGGTCGATTACCCTTCTGCAACAAACAGACTTTCTTAGGTCCCCGCCTTAAGATTAATAAGAGGATGAAATGGCTGATGCGGCCTGTCATACAGAGGTAGGGAGGCAAACACTTGAGTCAGCCACCAATGAAGACTACTAGGCACTAAGTAACCTGGGATGTCTTACCTGTCTCTCAGCAAACCAAACTCCTTAAGAGCAAGAATTGTATCGTTTATTATTTGTCATTAGGTGTTTGCTCTTGGTGGTTACTATTAATAACGATGTTGTTGTTTTCATAACAGAGAAAAAATCCAAAGGTGAAGGAGTACTAAGGCTAGGTATCTCTATGAATTATGAAATCATAAGGTTCATCTACCATATTTTTTCAACTCTAACGTGTATTTTGTGTCCATGTTTATTAGGCTTTGTCTTATAATACACATGTACATGTGTACGGAGGTGTTTCTCAATTGCCTTAAACTATTATTAAGTAAATGCTGTGACTTAGAATCGCTAATGCCTAAGAACTGAGGCAATGGAATAGTTCAGTTTTCCACTCCAGGCAAGAATTCTGTCTACCATAATCTCTCCTTTAATATTTCCACTGTACAGAAGTTTAATTCTCTTCCAGGCAGCCCTTTCCATTACCGGATACCATCACTGTGATAAGTTGCTCCTTATATGAAGCTGAAACATCTCCTACAATTTCCCCACGGCATTTCTAGTCCTGTTCTCTGAAGCTACACAAAATAAGTCAAATTCTTCTTAGGAGGGAGAGTGGCTTCGGACAGCAAGTGAAGTCTCTGAAGGCAGGCAGATCTGGGTTTTAATCCTGACTCTGCCACTTATTAGCAAGAAACTTCTGTTCCCTCATCTGTTAAGTGGGTTAAAGTACCCATTGTTGTGAGATATAAGTGAGATACATACGTATAAAGTGGCTGGCAGCTGATGCTCACTAAATGTAAAATACTCTTCTCCTCTACTTTCTCCTTGTTGGCTTTGCCATAATTTTATATCCTGGAAGATAAATATGTGTTCCACCCTTCTCAAGTCTGTTCCAAAACATTCCGCAGTTCCTAAGCCATTCTCCTGATAACTCTGATTCATGGCATACCTATAGCACCCAGTATGTGGCACGCACTGCCAAAAGGCCTAAGAAGCGAAATAACTTGCCTAGGGCCAGTTAGCAGTGGCCAGGTTTCAAACCTACATCTGTCTGGCTCTAAATCCACACCTTTAAATCTGGATCCTACGCAATGCTGTCCAATAGAAATATATTGTGAACCACATATGTAATTTTAAGTATTCTAGTAGCCACATTAAAAAAAAGAAAGAAAACGTAACCAGGAACAGGTGAGATTAAATTTAATAACATTTTTTATTAAACCCCATATATCCAAAATATCATTTCAACATGTAATCAATATAAAAAATTATTGGGATATTTCACATTTTATTTAATAGTAAGTCTATAAAATCTCAGTGTAAACTAGCCACATTTCAAGTGGTTAATAAACACATATGGCTTGTGGTTGCCCTATTGAACAGCACATACCTAGAGGAAAGGCTCAGTGTCCCCTGCCTGGAATTTAAGGACTTAGGTTCCACCACCAAATCCAGTGCTAACTAAATATAAGAGGCCAAGAAAATCAGTTAATAACCCCTCCGTTAACCTCTCTTCTCTATTAATCATTCTCTCAACAAAAACAGTATTTATCAAGTGTCTATACAATGTCAGGCATCATTCCATGAGCTGGGGATATTGCGGTGAATAAAACATAGCCCCTGCTTTCATGGAGCTTAGGACTTTAATTGGTAAGTAGGCATTGTGTCACCTAGTCAAATGTGCTTGCCCAAATAATAATAATAGCTACCCCTTATTGATTGTTTACAATAACCAGGCACTACGCTAAGTGTTTCATAAACATCTCATTTTATTTTTGCAACCTCCTCCTTAGAAAGTTTTTTAAATCTCTATTTAAAAAAAAAAAAAGAAGAAGAAGCTGAGGCTCAGAAAGAGAAAATGAGTTGTCCAAGTTTGCACAGCTGGGTAGTGGCAGAGGACAGGAATAAGCCCCATTCTAAGCTACGGACCTCACATCCTTATCAGAGAAACTTACCACTATAATTCCTAGGCCTTGTCCAAATTTCACCATGTTGTTCACCATTTCCTGTTTGTTATTTTTAATTTAACCCTATTTCCCAATACCAGCGAAAATTTGAATAAATACTGTGATGCCTTAAAGAACCCATAATTCACTGAACTTTCCATTCTGAAGTTAGTGTCTGTATAGGAAAATAGAGCCCAGCAATTTTACAGCCTCCTCCAGTCATTAATTACAGCACCAAGAGTTTGTCACGTGTCCAATATTGTGAACCACCGGGCTGATCAGGAGTGACATCCTAAGACCTAGCTATGTGCAGCTCTGAAAGCTGTCAGAGTCATATGCAAGGTCCGACTCTTAGCCATTTCCTCTTCCTATTCTGCACTCTTTCAGGGTAATCTCATTTATTCTCATGCTTTCAGGAACCATCTATGAAGCTCTGACTATGAAATTTCTACCTCTAGCCCAGTTCTCTCTGCTTTGAACTCTGGTTGGACATTGCCATTTGCATGTCCCATAAACACCTCATTCTCAGTGTGTCTACACATGAACTCATCGTCCCTGCCTCACCTACTCTGCTGTTTCCTAGCACAGAAGAGAGCACTGCCATGGTCTCCCAAGGTAGAAATCTAGATTTTTGTGCTCTCTCTCCCTGTCTTTATCTCTGCTTACTCATCCAATCAGTCTCTTTCATATTTTTAAAATCTGTCTTTTCTTCTGCAATTATGCGCCAGCTGGAGTTGTGCCAAAACTCCTAACTGGTCTTCTTTCTCCAGGCCCTCCTTTCCCAAGCTTTTCTTCACATCTCAGAGTGATCTTTTTAAAGCTCACATCTGTTCTTTAGTCTGACGTGCGAAGTCCTCCAGGACCTGGATCTGACGACCCCTTCTCCAGACATTTCTTACCTCTCCCAACCTCAAATTCTCTATCTTAATTCTATTTAACTCAATAACCTTTTGTACATGTTCCATCACCTGGAAGTTCCTTTCCTCGTTTCTTTATCTGGATGACATCTATTGTTCCTTCAAGTCACTTTGGGCATTAATTACTTTTTTCTGGGGATCCTTCTCTGATGTCCCCAAGATGGATCAAGTGTCCAGATTGTTTCCAAACCAGTTGAGCTGTTTATGTCTCATTGAATTGAATCACATGGTACTGTCTCCAGTTTCTATAATTGCCACATCTTACCTATATCTCTTTTGAGGGCAAAGACGAAGTCAAAAATAAAAATGTCTACAGCACAACAGATTTTCAAGAAATACTCAATTTTTAAAAAAATAAAAGAATGGAAAGTAGTACAGGGTACAGTGGAGAAACTAGAGCTAGAAGTGGCAATTTTGTGTAGCAATGAAGAGGTGGGCTCTGCAGGCAGCAGCTTAGAAACATTCCCACCTGTTCACTCCTTTGCACGTTGAAGTTCTTGTTGCCTATGTTTTCCATCTGTGAAATTACAGTAATCATTGTACTTGAGTCATAGGTTTGCTGGGAAAATCAATTTTAAATTTTGATATATTGTTTTTTGTTTTTTAAGATTTTATTTATTTACTTTTTTAGAGAGAGGAGAAGGGAGGGAGAGAGAGATGGAGAGAAACATCAGCTTGTGAGAAATATATCAGTCGGTTGCTTCTCACACACCCCCAACTGGGGACCTGGACCACAAGTGGGTTTGTGCCCTGACTGGCAATTGAATCAGCAAACTTTTGGTGCACAGGCCAGCACTTAATCCACTGAGCCACACCAGCCAGGGCTGATATAGTGTTCATTAAGGATTCTTTTGTATTAAGTTTGTAAAATATATTATTTATCTTAGTTACTGAGATTTTTGGTGTCCCTTTAAATTTTTCTTTCCAGGATGAGTTGGGTCACTCACCTAACTCTAGTGCCCACTTTGTCCGCACCTTATGTGCTTGACAGATAAGCAGTATTCAATAAATATCCTTTGAATGTACTTACCTCTCTATAATTTTATTTATTGATTTGAGAAACATCCATTTGTTGTTCCACTTACTTATGCATTCATTGGTTGATTCTTGTTGTGCCCTGACTAGGAATTGAACCTACAATCTTGACCTATGGAGATGATGCTCTGAGCCACCCTCTCAGGATTCTCCCTGTATTTTTATTTTTATTTTTAAGATTTCATTTTTATTTATTTTTATATTGAGGGGAAAGGAGGGAGAGAGGGAGAGAAACATTGACGTGTTGAGAAACATAGATTGGTTGCCTCTTGCGCGCCCCCAACCGGGGGCCTGGTCTGCAACTCACGCTTGCGGCAGGACGGGGAATCAAACCGGGACATTTCCGTTGGCAGGAGGATGTCCAACTTACTGAGCCTCACCGGTTAGGACTCTCCTAGTATTTTTAAATCGAAGCAAAACATCCACAGCCAAGTGAACAAATATTACGTAGATTGCTGAGCTCCCCAACTGTTCATAACATTATTCTAAGCTGTAAAGGGGGTCTTTCATTTTCACCCAACAAAAAATGTTTCATAACATTTTCTCCTCTTTTTTTCTGCAGCTCCCTGACCCAGGCTCTATTTCCCCGTCAGGCCCAAGAGATTTCCTAAACAAAAACATTTCCAGCTCGTCCAACTTGGAAAAAAAATATCTTCCTGGAGGACGGCCGATGACGTCAATTCCCTACCCGTCTCCCCAGCACCCCCACCGCCGCCAACTCCCACAAGAACGCTTCAAAGAAGGCCGCCATCTTCCAAACAGCAGCATCGCGCATGCGCCTCTGATTGCTGGGCAAACAGCTATTTTTAAGCCCTCTCGGCACCCTTACGTTGCGGGGCGGCTGCGTGGACGTTTGAGAGACGCCTGCCTTTTGCCGGAAGCTGGAAAAAGAGGAGGAAGTGTTGGCGCTGTAAAGGGGGCTTTAGGGCTGTGGACTAACTGTCTCTCAAAAGCTCTGAGGTGCTTGAGGGGCTATAACTTCCCGCTTTGGGAGAAGAGGCTGGAACGTGGGCGGAGGTGTATTTCTGGTGTAAGTGGTCACGTGTTCTTCATGCTAGCTTAGGAAGACATAAACCCGTCTAAAAGAATGTCATGGTTCCGCCTGGCTCTCTTTTAAACATGCTTTCAGAGAGGCGGAAAGCCTAGATTTTCTTCTGGTCCAGTATCTGCCGCCGTCTTGCTGGGTGTCCCTGGGTCCCTTTCCGAGTCTCAATATCCTTATCTGTAAGTTGAGGAGTGGACAAGTCCCTTAAGTCACCATTCAGTTCTTCTGCATGTTAATGTTATGTCATCTGGGCCGCAAAACCTGGGTTGTTTTTTTTTAACATCGTTGGTCCCATTTTATAAGGAAGACATTGAATCCAAGTTTAATGGCTTCCTCAAGATTGCACAGAAAATTTTTAGAGGCGTTCCAGACCTTTAGACTAGATTATACTGTAACTCCATGCACAGGTCTGCTTTGTATATTTCTGTATCATCAGTTTCTGAAACTGACCTATAGCAGTTACTCAAGTTTTGAATGGATGAGTGGATTTTTTGATGTCAAGGCCAATGACAAGCAGATTCGGTGTCTCCACCTCTCTGATATATTAACAAGTGTAACTCTTCCAGGTGTTTCCTGTACTTTATTGGGGACTCCGAATCCAGTCTAAGTTCTTCAGCTTAATCAGACACTATGGAGGCACCTCCCGTCACCATGATGCCTGTCAGTGGGGGCACCATTAACATGATGGAGTACTTGCTGCAGGGTAAGTGAGCCAAGGGAGCTTCAGGTTACCTGTTTTCCCCTTTTCTGTTCAGCTTCTGTGGAGATGAGAGGCTGTTACACAAAGGCAGCCTGGATACTTTCTAGTGTACAATATACAACTTTTTGAAAAAAGATTTTATTCATTTATTTTTAGAGAGGGGAAAGGAGAGAGACATTGATTGGTTGCCTCTTGCACACCCCCAACTGGGGACCTGACCCCCAATCCAAGCATGTGCCCTGACTGGGAATCAGACCTACAACCTTTAAGGGCTGCAGGTGGGTGCTCAATCCACTGAGCAATACCAGCCAGGGCAAGACAACAAGTTAAAAAAAATTTTTTTTTACTCTTAATTATGGTCACGAACACATAAAATTAAATTTACCATCTTAAACATTTTAAAGTAGTGTTAAATATGTTCACTTTGTTGTATAGCCCTAGAACTTTTTCATCTTGCAAAACTGAAACTCTGTACTTATTAAACACTAATTCCCCTTCCTCCTTCTGCCAGCCCTGGGCAACCACCTTTCTACTTTCTGTTTCTGATTTTGACACTTTAGATAGGTACCTCAGATGAGTGAAATCATACCGTTTTTGTCTTTTTTATGACTGGCTTATTTCACTTTGTTTAATGTACTCAAGATTCATCAATTTATACATATGACATTAAATAAGAATCTCATTATTTAAGGCTGAATAATGTTCCATTATATGTACATACCATATTTTTTTTGGTATGTATGGGGAATTGAATTTTTTAAATTTAATCTTTATTGTATTTTTTTTCATTTCCATTTAATCCCCTTATACTTCCTCCCCCCAGCTATCACCACACTGTTGTCCATATCCATGAACTATATTTCTTTATCCATTCATCTGGTGATGTACACTTGGGTTGCCTTCGTCTCTTTGTTATTGTGAATAATGCAGCAATCATCATGGATATGCAAATATCTTGTCAAGATCCTGTTTTGAATTCTTTTGCATACCTAAAAGTGGGCTTACTGGATCACATGGTAATTCTTTGATACTGTTATTAGATCCATCTTATAGATCAGGAGACATTGGTAAACTCACTTGCCCAGGTGAGAAAACTCAAGACCCAGAGAGGGTGATGATTTTCAGGAGGTCATATAATATTTAGTGGAAGAATATAGGCTTTAATTCAGATATTTATTTGGTAACTTCAGATGAACAAAACAGGGATATTAATTTTTACTCCCCAGGCTGCCCTTCCTTCAGTCTTCTCTCATCTCAGTAAGTGCCAGTGTCAGTCACTAGTTGCTCAAGCCAAGCATTCAGGGGTCAAGCTCCACTTTTTACTTTACCCCATATCTAGACCACTGCCAAGTCCTATTCATTCTACTTCCAAAATATATTTTAAATATGTCTTCTTCACCTGCAGTACAATATCCTTGTGTCTCTTGACTGACCTACTTTAGCAACCTCTTAACATTGCTTCCACTTCTGACCATGTCTGTTCTCATACCACGGCTAGTCATCTTTTTTTAATGACTTTATTTTTAGAGAGAGGGGAAGGGTGGGAGAAAGAGAGGGAAAGAAACATTAGTCTGTTTTCTCTTGTACGACTGAGACTGAACCTGCAACCCAGGCATGGGCCCTGACCGGGAACTGAACCAGTGACCTTTTGCTTTGCAGGAGTATGTCCAACCAACTGAGCCATACTGGTCAGGGTACTAGCTTGCAGCTTTGGTCCCTGGTTGGGATGCATGCGGGAGGCAAACCATCAATGTTTCTCTCTCACGTTGATGTTTCTCTCCCTCTTTTCCTCCCTTCCCCTCTCTCTAAAATCAGTGGGCATGTCCTTGGGTGAGGATTTAAAACAATTTTTTTTTAACTGTAAGAGAAAGCTTATTTAGAAAGTCACAGAAGTTGAAGAAATGAGCTGTAGAAGGAATGGGCTCAGGAAACAAGTTACAGAGACAAAAGATGGGGCCTTTGGAGCTTCGGAGAGAGATGGGAAAGGTGTAGATATGCTCCTGAGAGGGAGAATGCCAAAATTATCTTACTATTAAAAAATTGAAACATAAAGAAAATAGAGACTAATATAGTGGCCACACCATTTCCATCATCTAGATTTCAATTTCTATTATTTTGTTATATTTGCTTCATTTTTTTTCTTTTGCTTTGTTTTTTAATCCTCTCTTGAGGACATGCTCATTGATTTTAGAGAAAAGGGGAGGAAGGAGAAGAAACATCGATGTGACAGAAACATTGATCAGTTGCCTCTGGCCTGTGCCCTGACCACCGGGGACCGAGTCTGCAACCCAGGCACGTGCCCTGATGGGGAATTGAATTCACAACCTTTCAGTTTACAGGATGATGCTCCACTGAGTGTGTCAACTGAGACATACCAGCGAGGGCTCTTTTGCTATTTTTAAAGAAAATTTCAGACCTCATAACGTTCTACCCCTGAACACTTTAGTATACATCTCTGAAAAACAAGGATGTTCTTTCTTTCATAACCCCAATACCATCATTGTTATCTAAAAACATTATTCATATATTTTTAGTATCACCTAATATCTAGTCCATTTTCAAAAGTTTTCAGTCACTTAGCCCAAAAATGTGTTTTGTAACCAGATACAGTCAAGTTTCATGCATTACATTTGATAATTGTGCCCCTTGAGTCTCTTTTAATTTGAATCAGTCTACCCTCACCTCCACTTTTTCTCCCTGTACCCATGTCTTGTTGAAGAGTCCATCCCATTTTTACCAAAATGATCTTTTTAAAATGTAAATCTAGTCATGTGTTTTTCAGTTGCGTGGAAAATAAACTGTGGAACTAATAGCTTCCCAATAACTTTAGAATAAAATACAACCATGACCATGGACTATATATAAGGCCTGTATTCTTTGGCTCATGCCAAATCATCATCTCATTATCATCTTCCAGCTTACTCACTACACTTCAGCCACATTGATACCCTTTATTTCCTTGAATTCCCCAGTGCCTTTCCTGCCTCTGTGCCTTCCTTGATCCCTCTGCTTCAATACTTTTCCCAGCTTTTCAAAGAACCATCTCATTTTTTTCTTCCAGTCTCAGCTCAGTTGTCATTCTCTTAGAAGAAACCTTCTTTGACTACTCCAACCCCTCAGAGATGTCTCCTCTTACCCAGCACCACCAATTGCTCTCTATCCCATCTCCCTTTTATTTCCTTGTGTTTCTGTTTACTTATTTTTTGTTTTGGGACCTGATCTGTTGCTTTTCCTTCAACACTACCCACTTCCAAAAATTTGGTCAAATGAATCCCACTATCAATGTTTCCCATAGTTACATTAATATACCCTTATTTTCTTTAACAGATTTATTCAATAAATATTTGAATATGTTCCTAGCATTGGAGTATCAGCAATGGAGGAAGAAAAATAACTAAAATTTAATATATTGAGCCCTGGCTGGTATGGCTTAGTGTACTGAGTGCTAGCCTGCGAGCCAAGGGGTCACCGGTTCGATTCCCAGTCAGGGCACATGCCTGGGTTGCGGGCCAGGTTCCCATTGGGGGAGGCATGAGAGGCAACCACACATTAATGTTTCTCTCCCTTTCTTTCTCCCTCTCTTCCCCCTCTCTAAAAATAAATAAATAAAATCTTTTTAAAAATTAATATATTGAAGGATGACTAAAAAGCAGAGATGATAATGCTAAAGAAAAATAAAGCAGGGAAGTAGAAGGAGATTGGAGAACGTTATCTTATTTAGGGTGATCGGAAAGATCTCTTTGATAAAGTGACCCTTGAGCAAAGACCAGAAGAAAATGATTGGGTGAGATGTACAGATATCTGAGAGAACACTCTGAGCATAGGGACTAAGGGAAGAGCCTCTGTAGAGAAATAATTTGTCAAATACTTGGCATTTTCAGGAAATAGCAGCAGGAAGATCACTGGCTGGAGAGAGTGATCTAGGAGGGATAGTGGAAGAAAATGATGTTGGGCAGGTAGCAAAGCCCTCAATATATAGGGCCTTGTAGACGATGGTAAAGACTTTGGGATTTATTCTAAAAGACATGGAATACATGCTTTGGGGCAGAGGAGTGTCATGTTCTATCTGCCTTTCATTGTAAAAAGACCATTTGGCTATTGTATGGAGAAGAGAGGAAGAAGACAAGGGTAGAAGCAGGGTATTGCAAAGACCAGGCAAGAAATAAAGAAGACTTGGACTAGGTGGAAGAGATTGAGAGAGTAAAAAGTGGTTGGATTCTGCATATATTTTAAAAATTTGTATTGGATGTAGGATATGGGAGAAAGAAAGGAGTCAAAGATGATTCTGTGGTTTTTGGCTTGGGCAGCTGGAAACAGTTGCCATTTACTCTGATGGGGAACACTGCAGGGGAATAAGATTATGGAGGAAAAATAAAAAAAAATGATATTGAACATATTAAAATGAAGATGTCTGTTAGGTATCCAAGTGGAGAACTTGAGTACATAGTTGAGTACATGAGTCTGTAGTTCATGAGATATAAATGTGGGAGTCCTCAGGGCATAAATGGTATTTAAAGTCCTAGGACTAAATTGGATCACCTAGGGAGGAAGAGATTGTTAATAGAGAAGAGGACCAGGACTGAGTTCTGGGATCCTCCAGGATTTGGGGAAGATCTTCTAGGAAGACCCAGCAAAGACTTAAAAGGAATGATCAGTGAATTAGGCGAAGAACCAAGAGAAAGAGTTGTGTACTAGAGGTCAAGGGAAGAATAGATTTAAAAATGGGTGTGATCTATAACAACTGTCAAATGCTGCCAGGAGGACGAATAAGATGAGAACAAAGCAATTCATTCTTTTTTACTTAAATATATATATATTACATCAAAAGAAAATGTTATATTTCTTCTATAGATGGAAAACTTTTGTTTGCTAGAAATAGAAGATAATTTTTAAAATAAATGACAACAAAACAGTAATACTACATTCTAGATACTGTTGCCTGTTAAAGGTTCTGAACCCCAAGCTGGAGATTAGCATTGTTAGAGAAGGCCCAAAGACTTTCTAGTACCAAATAAGACAATGCAAAAAATTGAAAAGGGATTAACTTTCTCACAATGTTATACAATACCTTGGCAGTATAACCCTCCAAAGTCTCATATATTAGACACTTGGTTCATTTAAGTTTGTCAGTCTTTTACTAATTTCATTACCCAGAATGAAAGATGGGACTCAATAGTGCCTTCTCCTTTTTTAGGAAGTGTCTTAGATCACAGCTTGGAAAGCCTTATCCATCGCCTTCGTGGTTTGTGTGACAACATGGAACCTGAGACCTTCCTTGATCATGAGATGGTATTCCTCCTTAAAGGCCAGCAGGCCAGTCCCTTTGTTCTAAGGGCCCGGCGCTCTATGGATAGGGCAGGAGCACCATGGCACCTGCGCTACCTGGGACAGCCTGAAGTGGGAGACAAGAACCGCCATTCCCTGGTGCGAAACTGCGTGGACATTGCAACGTCTGAGAATCTCACCGACTTCCTGATGGAAATGGGCTTCCGCATGGACCATGAGTTTGTGGCCAAGGGACACTTGTTCCGTAAGGGCATCATGAAGATTATGGTGTACAAGATCTTCCGTATCCTGGTGCCGGGGAACACGGACAGCACTGAGGCCTTGTCTCTCTCCTATCTCGTGGAACTAAGTGTTGTTGCACCAGCAGGGCAGGACATGGTCTCTGATGACATGAGGAACTTTGCAGAGCAGCTGAAACCTCTAGTTCACCTAGAGAAAATAGACCCCAAACGGCTCATGTGACTGAGACAATCTGTCCACCGTTGGGACCTGTCTTCACCTGTTACAAAGAAGACATTATAAGTGCCCCATTTCACCACTGCCAGCCGGGCATTCTTCCCTTAGGAAGGACAGAAAAGCTTAATTGGTTCTTTTCTGTTTTCCTCGTGTGTCAAGTTTACTTTTGTGACAGCCTTTCTAAATTAAAGGCTCAGGAAAACATGGAGACTCTATTTAATCCTTCTGCACAAAAAGGGGAAATGGAAATAAATGAGCTTCTAGAAAGAAAAATCTCTTAATTGTTTTGCCATTTTTGTATAAGGTTTATAAAATAAGAGCTCGTGTTGTGTGGTAATAAAGGCTATGAAGGGAAATGTCTATTTCTGACACTATCCCATAACTCTGCTAATTTGGGTTTATTCTGCTAAATGGGATTCATTACCAATTAGAGCAAAAAGAAAAATGGCAGGTTTTAGTTTTGGTAGAGATGATAGTTTTTACCTCATTAAAGTAGCATGTGTTTGTTGTTGGAACTTTAAATACAAAAGTAAGAAAAATAACCTATAATCCTATTATTCAATGAGATGTACTATTTCTGTTTTGGTATATATCTTTCTAGTTCTTTATTTCTGTAAACATAATATATGAGATATACTTATTTTATAAAAATATTCTGTATATCCTGGTTTATAGCCTTTTTTTGTTTAATTTATTATTAACATTTTTCTAGGACATTAAGCTACAGCGTCCTTCTGTAAAAACAAAAAACTCATTTATTGAGTTCTTGTATGTGTCAGTGCTATCCTTAGTGCTTAAGGTATATTAATTAATCTTCACAAGAGACTCATTTTATAAGCAGGGAAACTGAAGTACAAGGAGATTAATCAGCTTTCCCTGAGCTATGCAGATACTAATTAGCAGACCTGGTATTTAAATATTGAGAATTTGAATTGCTGTTTGTATCCCATCATACGGATTTTCCATAACTTAATTGGTCCTCCTATTTTAGGATTTTTAGTTTAATCCCATGGGTCTCCATATGCTTTTCTAAACAATCCTGCAATGCTAGTACTTTCAATTAAATATTTGTTAATAGCTATAATAATTCTTTAGAATAAATTCTAGGGAACAGCTGCGTCAAAGAATATGCACCATTTGCACTATTTTAAGGCTTCTGGCATGCATTGCCAAATGCCTTCCAGAAATGTCCCCGTTTTCACTTCCTGCCAGCTATAGATGATGTTTCCAACATGGCTGCCAAAACTAGATGTAACCATGAAATCTTGTTTTTTCTATTTGATGATAAAGAGTGATTAATTTTCAAAGTATTTTTCAGTGAGGTTTAAATTTTGTTTATTGGACATTTTCTTCATTGTTCATCTTTTTAAAATTAAAAAAAAAAATTAACCACTGATTTTGAGAGGCAAAGGAAGGAAGAGAGAAAAACATTCATTTGTTGCTCCACCTATCCATGCACTTACTGGTTGACTCCTGCATGTGTCCAGACCAGAAATTGAACCCATAACCCTGGCGCATCAGGAAGACACTCCAAACAACTGAGCTACCTGGCCAGGGCCACCTTTTCTTTGTTAATTTATAAGGAGGTTTATATAAATTTCCCCATCTATCACTTGACTTTTAATGGATTTTTCAGAAAAGATTTTATTTATTTTTAGAGAGAAGGGAAGAGAGGGAAAAAGGGAAACATAGATGCAAGAGAGAAACATAGACCATCAGCCTCTCGCATGGGCCGTGACCTGCAACCCAGGCACATGTCCTGACTGGGAATCAAGCTAGTGACCCTTCCTTTCATGGGATAATGCCCAAGCAACTGAGCCACTCCGGTCAGGGCTTTTAATGGATTTTTTAAGTAACAGTTCTTAGTCGGATAAATGTTCATCATCTTGGTGCTTACAAAGTTTTTTAATACCTTGGAAAGAGTTTGGCTTGCCAAAAACATTAGGTTACTCAAAAATTTAATTTTCTTTTGGAACCTCCATTTAGACAACACCCCAGTTGAGCTGTATTTGGATAAATCATAATTCTTTGTACCTCAGTTTACCACTCAAAAGATTACATGGATACTCTGGTAGAATGCTTTGGGTTACAGGAAACAGAATACCTATCCCTGCCTTAAACAGTAAGGGTAGTATTGGGTTGGCCAAAAAGTTTGGTTCTTTCTGTAAAAGGCTCTAGGGCTTAGTTTTCTTTAAATTCATTCAAAACAATTTCGATAGATTGTATTGTGACAGCTGTCACATCAGCATGTGTTTAAAAGAAACATCAAAATTGGTGAATTTTTATGTAGCCACTTTAATATTGAAGATGGAAGAAAATACACATTTTCAGCATATTATGCTTTATTATTTCAAGAAAGGTAAAAATGCAACTGAAACACTAAAAAATATATATATGCTGTGTACGGAGAAGGTGCAGTGACTGATCGAACGTGTCAAAAGTGGTTTGCAAAGTTTTGTGCTGCAGATTTCTTGCTGGATGATGCTCCACGGTTGGGTAGACCAGTTGAAGTTGATAGCGATCAAGTTGAGACCTTGAGAAGAATCAGTGTCCTAACCAGGCAGGAAATAGCCGACATACTCAAAATATCCAAATCAATAAAGTTATTGGTGAACATGAAAAATGTGTCTTATTTTATGGAAAAAACCATACAGACTTTTTGGCCAACCCAGTAATATTATCTCACCTAATAAGTTCTAAGATGAGGTGGCTGCCAGATTGGTTAGTTGGTTATTTCTCTGGCTCTGGGATCCTTTTCTGGCTTTCTGTGAATGTTTTAAAGATACGTAGCTTTTTTCCCCTTTCAGTTGCAGATTGCGTAAGTGGATAAATCTTGTTCCTCCTTTCACAGTATATTAACACAAATGATTCAGGAAAAGCCCCTTTCTTGTTTCGTGGTCTTCCACTTTACTCCTAAACTCTATTCCCATGTATCCTATACACATCACTTTTGATATGTTCGATACACATCTTTGGTGTGTAGAGTTCTAAGAATATGTTCAATTCACATTAAGTGATATCATGCTATGTTCCTTTTCTTTTTAAAATTAACATTGCTTTTGTGATATGCTAACTTCCAATTTGCATATGCTTTAATATTAACAATAATATTAAATAATCTTAACTCTGTGCCAGGTGCTTTAAATGTTTTAACTCATATACTTCTCACAACCACCATATGAGATAGTTAGTATTAGTCCCATATTATAAATGGGAGTGAGACACACAGAGGTTACTCAAATTTTCTACTTTCATTTTAATTGAATTTATTGGTGACGTCAATAAAATTACTTACTTCAATTCTTCAAAGTCAGAACCAGTAAGTGGTGGAGCCCGAATTTCAGCTCCTGCAACCCAACTCCAGAACCCAGGCGCATAGCCACTGTGTGTCCGATGTGTTTCACTCATTTAGTCACTTGATGATAGAAACCTAGATTGCCTTCACTTCTCTATTACCATAAAAAATGCTAAAATAAGGAAATTTGTAAATTGATGTGAATATTCCCCTGAGCCATATATTTAAGGGCATGTTCGATTTTTGCCAAATATTGCCAGATTGCTTTTGAGAATGGCTGTACTATTTATATTTCTATTGCCAGTGCATATGAACTTGTTCACATCCTCATCAATCTTTGGTGTTAACCCATCTTTCTAATTTTTGCCAGTTTGATGGGTGGAAAGTGTTAGCTCTTGTTTTGTTTTGTTTGTTTTTAATTGAAGTATAATTGACATACAACATCACATTGGTTTCAGGTGTACAACATCACGATTAGACGTCTCTATACATTGCGCAATGATCATCACCATAGGTCTAGTAACCTGCTGTCATTATACAAAGTTAATATATTATTATTTTTAAACTAATTTTTAAATAATTATTATTATTTATTTTTAAGTCCTCACTTGAGAATATTTTTATTGATTTCAGAGAGACGGGAGAGAGAAACATCGATGTGAGAGACATCGTTCACTTGCCTCCTGTACATGCCCCAGCTGGAGATCGAACCCACAGCCTAGGTATGTGCTCTGACCAGGAATCAAACTCACCACCCTTTTTTTTTTTTTTTTTCACGTGTACAGGACAATGCTCCCACCAACTGAGCCACCCAGCCAGGGTGTTAATGTAATATTGACCGTAGTCCCCATGCTGTACATTACATCCCTGTGACTGACTTATGTTAAACTGGAAGTTTGTGCCTCTTGATCACCTTCATCCATTCCAACCACCTCCCAAAGCTCGTGGTTGTTTTGATTTGCATTTCTCTGATTGTAATTAAATTTGAGGCCTTTTTCATATACTTTTTTTATATATGAAACTGTATAGACTACTTAGTATGTGAAACTAAGGTATCTACCACCTTTGCCTATTTTGCTAGTTGCTTTCTGGTCTTGTTGATTTGTCAGAATCCTTTGTTTATTCTAGACATTAATCCTGTGTTAGTTTTAAACATCGCACATACTTTTTCCCAGTATCTATTTATATATTTTGCCTATTTTTTTTCTATTTGATTGCCTGTCTGATGGTTTATAGGAATTGTGTGTTTTCTGGACATTATTCCTTGTTTGTTTTAAACATTGTAAATACCTTCTCCCATCTTGTTACCTTCTTGTTAACTTTGTGATGTCATTAATTAAGCAGATGTCCTAAATTTTGGCCCTATAGTTTAGACTCTTGTTTAGAAAGTCTTTATTTACTCCTAGGTAACATAGATGTTCCTATATTAGCTTTATGTAACTTTCACGCTTAGGTCCTTAATACATCTGGAGTCCACCTTTAACATAGTATCAAATAAAAATCCAGCTTTTTTCTCTATAAGGTGAATTTGTTTTTCTATCATCATCTGAAAAACAATCTTTTCAGTGCTTTGTGATCCCACCTTTATCACATATTAGGTTCCCACATGTATGCTTTATTTCTAAGCTCTCCATTCTATTTCATTGGTCTTTCTCTTTGATTCAGTGCCAGCAACACATATTTTTTATTACTGTGGCTTTGTGGTAGAGCCAGTTCTACCAGTAGGGAAGGTATCCCTACTTTTATTTTCCCCTCAAAATAGACTAAGCTTTCATAGGCCTTTTATGCTTTTGTATTCGTTTTAGAGTTTTAGTTTTGTTTCTCAATGTTGCTATTGAAATTTTTATTGTAATTTCATTAAAAGGTAGAGATTAAATCGAGGGGAGAACTGACGTCTTTGATTGGAACACTGCCTCCCCAGAATTCAATGTGGTAGGCTTCCCTCACCTCTTTCAGGCCTCTGCTAGCATGTCAGAGAA